AACAGAAAGAAGAGTGTAAAGAGTTTATATAATATATCTCTATATATACATAGGAGATAACATGGCTGGGACAGAGGTGTGTACATACGTAGAGTTAACATGGCTGGGACTTTTTCAAATAACTTCTCAAATTTACCATGACGCGGCCCCAGTGATTTTTTGTCCAATCCCCGTCGTTTTGTGCAAGAAAAATTCAGAATTATTCAGAGCCCAGAAATGTGAAATTATGCGATTCTGTTAATTTTATCAAAGAATGATTAAATCAGATTATGCAAAAAATGATCAAATTTTGCTACATTTTACGGGGTGCATAAAACCACGGGGACAGCTTGTCGTATCTCCATTTATAATAAGAGTGAAAACAGCTCATAACATAGAGTGAGCTGAAGAAGATGTCACATTTTCTTTGTTTAAAAAAAAAAAATGGAGATAGGCCAAGAAAGCTCTGAGGTCGCGATGTGCTGTGTGTAGATGTGTTTGGGAATAGGCCAAGAAAGCACTGAGGTCGCGATGTGCTGTGTGTAGATGTGTTTGGGAATAGGACAAGAAAGCACTGAGGTCGCAATGTGCTGCGTGTAGATGTGTTTGGGAATAGGACAAGAAAGCACTGAGGTCGCAATGTGCTGTGTGTAGATGTGTTTGGGAATGGTGTATGGTCACAAGAGGTAATGTGTTGTGTGAGGTGACATTGTTCAACAAGTTTTAATTTGAAGTATCATCGGCTTTCCTTGTGTTTGAAGCTGATGGTGTCTAAGTGACTGTCTTTTTGAGGTATTGAAAGCACTTTTATGGTAGTGGCTTTATTTTAGGGATGGCTGGTAGGTATCTTTGTTTTTTGTTTTTTTTATCTTAATCTGTAAATGGCTCCCTTGTTTTTTTTCTAAAGAGGCAAAGTGAATGCTTTATTCAAATGTGGGCAGATGATTGTGGGGATTTTTTATACGTGTTGCTGGTAGTTTTTATGTACGAGTTGTGTGTTCTTTGTGGAGATTTTAGTTGCGACTTTTGTTGATGTTGCTGAATGTTCATTACATGTTTTATCAAGCTGGTTATTTTGCTTTACTGTGGTACAGATATACTCGAATGAATAAAAACACCCACTCGTTTCTAGTCATGTTTCTGAGAACAGTTCCGGTCTGCCACATTGTGCGGCTTGTTGAAAGAATGCGAGGACAGTTCATCTTTTCTCAAAGTGGAGGCATTTAAGGCTTTTATTCTTTTTATGAAGGTTCACTGAAATTGTGCTAGTCTTTGCTCTGCTCTGATGTCTTTAGTACTTTACAGGTATGTCTGGATTGTAAATATATGAAGACTGACATTGAAGCGAAAGTAAGGAAAATCAAATCATTATACACACAGTTAGGATTTCAAGTACAAAAACAGTCTATGTGAGATGGTAACAGTAACAGTCTTGACGTGTACACTTGAATCATCCACAAATAATTTTTACTGGGGGTGGGGGGGGGGGGGGTTGTGTGTGTGTGTGTGTGATTGCCATTTTAACTCAGATTTTCCTCTCCTGCACTACCTCACTGTCGAGATTGTTTTTTTACCAGCACTCTAAAAATAAATGATAATTTATTAATTGATGTCATAGCTCTCCTTGAGTCGTGAAACCGTTCCGTGACTGAGGAGGACAAGAGATTGTGTGAACATTTGTTGAAAACTTAGCGGAAGACGTAACAACTGGCCACAAAGAATTTGGCCCAGAACCAGTAAGACTAAGAGTTGAGCTCTACTAAAATAAATGAGAAATGCTTATCGTTTTTTTTTAATTGGGTGAGGCAGATGTGATCCGAAAATTGTTATATTTGTTTAAATTATAGTTCCTTTATTTATTTCACGGAGGCTCGAATTGAAATAGTACCGCTTTCTTCCTGTGTGCCCTGGGAGCTGAGCATTTGTCAGTGGAGTTTTAATTTCCTGAAATAACGTTACATTTTGCTGTTGTTCACGTAGTTTTTCGTGGTGTCGTTGATTTAGCTGGTACTGGAGGAACAGTTTCTTCCTCCCCTCAAACTAGTTTTATCTCTCACGAGTTCTGGAAGCTTTAGAATATTTTAAAGGACAAAAACATCACTAATTTGGTCATTAAATCAAAACAATTGAACCTATTTTGATAGATGTTCATTTAATGAATGAAATCACGATAAAAGAAACCTGTTTTCTCCAACTGCCAAAGAGTAGCTTGATGTGGAAGTCGTCGTAAAGGAATGTGCCCGGGCTGCTGTCAGCGACTCACCGACACAGGGGTTCCGACCGCGAGCCGCTGGGAGCGACTTGCCAGAGATAAAGAGTTAACAAAGTTGACACTCATTGAGCATGTATGGGTGATGTTTTATAATGATGTCTTATGGGGAAGAATGAGCTTGTTCTTGTATTGCTGATACGTTTACATTTGGTGTGATAAAGATGAGTAGATGGTATGTACAATGCATGGGTGTCCTTGTATTGCTGCAACGTTTACATTTGGTGTGATAAAGATGAGTAGATGGTATGTACAATGCATGGGTGGAAACTTGACTTTTGTTCTTGCTTGTTGTTCTATTTCGTTGTTGTAGTTGTCATTTTGAGAGGGGAGAATGGTGTTATGGGAAGAGTGACCAAATTGGTTCCGATTACATCTCTGTAAAGAGTCAAAGATGTGAACAGTGACCGAATTGATTCAGATGACATCTGTAAAGAGTCAAAGAAGTGAAAGTGTATGATGAGTTTAGAGCCGACGGAAAGACAATCACTGCTGTTTCTGTTGCCTTGTTAGCAGGCCGTCTACAATACTGTTCATTACTTTTACCTTATTATAGACCACATGATGAAGACTGGAACATTTTTGTGATTCCTTAACATGCGCGGGTGCTCTGGTGTGGTTTGCTCCTTCTTTCCTCTATAAAAAATCTATGGTCTTGATCTCCCTTGCCAGTTTGTCTTGCTTTTGAAGTTTAGTAACAAGTTAGATTCTAGGAAACTCAAATATTTTCCTTCTTTTTTTTATTCAGTGCAGTATTATTCTGTCCCCGTCATTTTATGCAAGAAAAATTCTGAAATTCTGCAATCTGAGCCCAAACATGTGAAATTAAGCGATTCTGTTAATCTTAACAAAGAATGATAAAGGAAAATAAGAAGAAATTATGCAAAAAAATGATCAAATTTTGCTAAATTATGCGGGGTGCATAATACCACGGGGACAGATTATTACAACAAGGGTAAGGAATAGGCTTAGTGAAGGGTAGGCTTAGTGAAGGGTAGGCTTAGTGAAGTGTAGGCTTAGTGAAGTGTATGTTGTAGGATCAAACTGTTGGTCAGTTCTGTGAACAGGTGTTCTCATATGGGCATTATATTAGATAAGATAAGATAAGATACTTTATTATCCCAGAGGGAAATTTTCCTTGGCTGTACAGGACCGTAAAAACACATGCAGGTATACATTAAAAAATTTAAATCATATAAATTACTCTCATTAAAATTCAATATGAAAGGAGAAGTAAAGCTGACAAAATGTACATATCAAATGCATCATTCAACCACATGCAGGGATTTAAATACTAGACCTTTTGAGTTATATATAGGTACATACTCTAAGAGCAACACACATCTATGCTCATTCTGACAAAAGCCTTCTTATGCTAGATGGTAAAAAACTTCTTTTGATTAGTACTGCCAACTGCCACTAAGTAGATCTATGATTCTGTGTACTTTGCACTTACTGTGACCCTCATAGAGGGAGGTCAGAGGGCATCACTGGCACAGCCCACCTTCTTTTTTTTCCTTCTACTGTTTTTGTCTGTCTGTCTGTCTGTCTGTCTGTCTGCCTGTCTTGTTCCCTGTGTGGGTGGTTGGCAGGTGCTCTGATGTGGTTTGCTCCTTCTTTCCTATCAAACATCTCGCTGGCTGGGTGCAAGAACCCTACAAGTGCCAATTTACAAGCGATCTGTAGTCCTTATCTCCGCTCCTTCTTTTTTGTGTATGTTACTTTTTTGTAGCGTAACATCTCTAATCTTCGGCATTTTGATGGCCGTATTGTGTTGCTAGTGCCGTAAAACTCTTACTCAAACTAAAACTGTTCCCTGCACTACACAACTGCAATGTGCTGCTGTGCTTAGC